ATTACTGTCTTCCACATTCAAAGCCACATTTGACTCATTCTTGTACACATGTTCTTTCATATTTTATGGTACGATGTGGTCTGTCTGGTCGGTATATAAACCATGTTTGAAATAAATGATTCGATTCATATAGCAGAGGCTGAGATTGGTGTTCTAGACATAACAGGTTGGGCTAAGCGGGAAGCATGACCAATAAGTACTCTAGACTGCTCGTACGGGTTTATGTGTCGCTGGTTCGATCGATAATTCACTACTCTCTAATTGGCGGTATCATTACGTTATCCATTAACAGCGCACAAAGGCCATAACTTATAACATTCTCATTCACTTCCACTTCAATGAGTTGGCAATCTTTCATAATTGTGTAAAACTCCTTGGTTTTACAATGGATTAATATGCGTAAAAAATTACCTATCAGTAAGATTGTACACCTTCAGTAAATGGTATCCTCGAAGAAAGAGAATTTTCTTCCCTGGAACGTCTTCATCAATTTGCTTCTTTCGTTTTCTCTTTGTTTCTTCAATCACAGTGAGAGATAATTGGTAAAGCATCATGTATTATTTGTTCACATGGAGTCAGTCCATATTAAAACAATCTTTCAATAACTTACTATTCAGAATGATCGTAAACTACAGCAATATAATAATATATATAGAAAAACAATGAACTTGATGTCAGGTTATTTAAATTGATGATCACATTACAACTTGGTTGCAAGAATCGAACATGATTCATATGGAAGAGGCTGAGATTGATGTTCTGGACATAACAGACAGAGAGAACAGATAAGGACTTGTACGGGTTTATGTGTCACTGGTTCGATCGATCAATCATTACTCTCCAATTGGCGATATCATTACATCATATACTGATACAAGAACAAGGCCACAACTTATAACAGATATATATAAACATTCAATGATAAATCTTTTTTTAGTAAATTCACTAAAATTAAACAACACAAATAATCTAGGTGAGTAGGACTTCACTGGCAGTGACTGGGATATGCAAGGCCATATGAACATTTTGAGAGAGAGCGGACTCGTTCCACCGTCAGCTATACAGAAGCATTTGGGGGAGGGCAGAACAAGATAAATGACTTAGTGAGAAGCATGTATATATATATATTCTTTATGTCATTCATGAACCATTTTCAAATGAACAATTACAAAACACAGAGCTAACAAAAGTTATACCAGGGTTAATATCAATTACTAATATTGGAAACATGGGATAAGTTGTTTAGGAAGTATAATTGAAGGGATCATGTGAATTTTTTATGAGGATATAAGTATTATGATGTCAACCAGCACTGAGGGAATAGACTTAATAAGACTTGAAGAATCTAACAGTTTATACAAACTATTGCTCATTACAAAATTTTATGAATGGTCACACATACACAGCCACTGATCAGAGAAGTTCAGCTTACTGCCTTCTAGAGAAGGGGGCGTTCACCAAAAAACTGAGGATACAAAAAGCGAATGTTCGTTGCTCCAACAAAATTGGTGGGTATGGAAGATCGTCCTAGGGGAGTTGGAAAACCTTGGTCCCAAACCAATGGTTCACATGGGCTTTAGGATCCTGGGAAACAAATGGCGTATGAACCAATTATTGGTCATCGGCTACCATGGGACTACATCTACTAACATTGTTCCAACGCCTTGTGGATTAGACCATTAGGTTGAAAGCTCTGGATGTGGCCCTCTAAGAAAACCACACGCTTCGGTCTAAGCACCCAGACAGCATCACAGCCCACACACAAATCAAGTGACTTGTGTGGCGCATATGTATTTGGTGCCCCTTTGTACCAAGATTTGTGTTCGAATAAATAATAAATATAACATATTATTATCATATAATGGGTGAAAGTATATATAATACAAGGAAGAGCTGATCAGAATCGACAACTTGACATTTATGCTTTTGCACAAAATTCAAATATCATGTATAAAGAGCAGTGGCAATTTGTTTGTAGGTTGCTGGAAAAGTTAGAAATTAGAGAGGAATATCAATCTTTGATAATATAGAGTAAAGACTAGTGAGATTAGATGGTGGTTATAGGTAGTCGACAGGAAACCCTGGATCCGGGTTTCGTGCTACTTGGCACTCATCAGCAAGGTGTACCTGTAATCTTGAGGGAACTGGTGCTCCCTGGCGGATTCGATCCTGTGTCACCCAGCTTCACAGTCAGAGACGTTACCTAGTGGCCACATTGTAAATTGATCGATAGCATTGGATTTACACTAAATAAGGACTTGACACACATGACATTGATCACCACCCAGTGATCAATCAGTTGTGAGTAAAGATCAGTGTTAAACGTATAGCATGCTTACTTTTGTGTCTTTAGATTGTATGCACAGATAAATCTACGTTATCCCTAAATCATAAACATAAGTCCTTGATCCTCAAAAAAAAACCGTTATCATGTGACATTACATTCTATTCTAGAACTAATCAGATGACGTCTATTATATTTATCAATTGAAATCTATTCTCTTACTATGCCTAATGTCAATTCGTGAAGAAAACCTAACTACAAAACCGTCTCTATATATCTATATACCTCACTCCTACTTGAGATATTGTGGAAAATTTTAACAATCTATTTGGATTCTATTCAGTATTTGAGATGAACAATTTCTTATCCATAAGAACGAGCTGATATGTCATTTTCTTTTTTTCGACTGACAAGATTTTCCATAAACTGTCTACTTATAAAAGTTGTCTCCTAATTGGTTGGAAATTTATCGTGATTGTTTTACGTTTGTCTTTATACCATTTTTTTTTCTTATCAATATAATCTACTGAATGCGTGTGCTACGGATAACGACAGAGATAAATAGTATATGTCACCAATTGAAAGTGGAATACCTCGCAGTCAGTCAGTCAGTAACAACATAGAACTCCGTACGTACGTACATCAGTTCGAGTTGCCATACCACATTAGCACAGAGATGAAGTTGTCGATTCAAACCCTATAGTGGTAGAGTTGTTAAAAGTATAAGCAATAATCGGAAACATTAGGGTTTGAAGATGTTATTCAAAGAGTATAATCCAGTGAAATGAATTTGGAAATAGAAAAAAAGAAACAAGGAGGATTCAAAGGATTAGAATTTGGGAGAACACAAAAAGCGAATGCACCTGAGCCATTGCAAACAATTTTGAGCTATATCATTCAGGAATACCTGGCAGAAAACGGTTAAGAAGATTGAAGAGAAGAGAACAAGAATAGAAAATGATTGGTATGTAAAAAAAATAATAACCATGATAGGATTTGTTCAATTTATGCAACTTTAATTATCATTACAATCATTTGACTGTTTATTCTCACTTCCAGTTATGTCATTAAAACAGAGCTGTTACGTAACAAATTTGATTTAGTTGTCTCATCTTGACTATTAAGTTTCATCTAAAGCCCTAACCTCTTTTTCTATTGGAAAATTATTATCATGTCTGGTTTGTTGAATTCGCGTAGATCTAGTTTTATTCATAGAAGGATTTGTTCAATTGTTAGTAATTACAAAATTACTGTAACAAAGTCTTAATGGTGAGACTATAATTTATGGACGATCTTTGAGCGACGCTAAAGTGATCATGAGTGTTCACCTAAGACAAAATGAGGGCTATAAACCAAAACTCCATTTAGTAAAAATGGATGGGTGAATTTCGCGGCAAAATCCGAAACCTGTTATCTTATACCTGATTGGTCCTTCCATAAATTACAGTCAGCCAGTCAACAACAACATAGAACTTCGTACGTACGTACATCAGTTCGAGTTGCCATACTACGTCACCACACAGATACAATTTAAAGCAATTATTTCGATAGAACAATGAGAAGACGGAGTTGATCTAAAAACATTGTGATGTATTTGCGCTATACATTTCGAACAATCTGGTCACACATATACTTGTCAGGGCATTTTTTTATATGAAAATACTAAAGGTCAGACAAATAAAAGTAAAATAACTAAGGAGAAAGAAAGAATAAGAAATTGTCGCGTTATCCTGGGCCATAGAATGACTTAAGGATTACCAAGGTAAATTCAAGGTTACGACAAATTGCTTTTGTACAAATAAGGGGGGTGGTTTAAATTTACGAATAGCCAAGGCTTCAATAAACTCAAGAATTCAACCTTGACAATTTCTATACAACATACTAAATGCTGTATTAATGTCATTTTGTGCCCCGTTTCAATTATATGTTACTTTACTTGAAGTTTCATCTAATTGATCTTTATTAATTTTTATATAAAAATGCCCTGACAAGTATATGTGTGACCGGATTGTTCGAAATGTATAGTGCAAATACATCACTTTTATCCAGATCAACTCCGTCTTCTCATTGTTCTACAGATACAATTGTCCATTCAAAGCCCATAGTGGTAGAGGTGGTAAAAGTATAAGCAGTAATCGAAAAGATTAGATTTTGAAGATGTTATTCAAAGAGTATAATCCAGTGAAATAAATTTGGAAAGAGAAAAAAGAGACAATGAGGATTCAGGAGATTAGAATTTAGGAGAACACAAAGAGTAGATGCACCTGCGCCATTGCAAACGGTTTTAAGCCATGTCATTCAAGGTCTCTAACCATCGGTTGCTATCATCGCACGGATCCCAACCAGGTAGTCTACACTTACGAACATGGTTCAGTCGACTTGTCAGTGATTTCATTGATTTGTGTCATGTTTTGGTCTGGCCCTCCCATAACTTTCTTCCAACCTACTCCTACACTATAAAACATCGCTTGTCGGGGCAGTAGGTGGTTGGGCATACATAACACATATTCCAGCCGTCTCAACTAATGAAGTCGCAATACTTCATCAATTGATTTTTCATCCATATCTAGTACCCGTTTCCTAACAACTACATCACTTACTCGATGGTTCCAGGATATACCGAACAATACTTCAAAGACATCTATAATCAAATACTAATTACCTAAGAATAATCTCACCGTCTTAATTCAAAAACTTTACAAGTATATACTACTTATTAATAAGAAATGATTATTACAATTTTATCTTTTGTTAACAAATATTATCAATATTTATATTATATTTAATAAATTAAATCTTTATTTAAATAAAAGAAAACATACTCATCATACATACATGCACTTCAATAAAACTACACACTAGTCACTAGGAGAAACAAAACAAGACAGAACACTAACCAAAGATCAGGAAAGAGAGGGGGAGGGGGAAAAATTGGAAACAATGAATAGTTAAATTAAATATATCATAGTTGATTTTTTTTTATTATTTAAATAATGAAACCAAATAGTGCATGTTCTTCTTTGTGTGTGTGTGTGTGTGTGCGAAAGAGAGAGAGGAGGGTGAGGAGGAAGAGAAGAAGATATCGAAAACGACGACGACGTCGACGACAACAACAACATACACTATAACCTAACCTTAGAAGTTTTCTATTTGTGCTGCACCAAAACCCATAAATATAATTGTAAACGAATAAATTTCTTTAGTGTTAACAATAAATGTTAAATAGAAGATGAACTTTAAAAGAACCCATAGCAAAGAAGTAATTGTTGTAAAGAGGAGATGATAGAGGACAATATATTGTAGGTTATTGTAGGTTAAAAGAAGTAATAACATAAATAATATTAAACTTCAATTAAATATATGTGTGATGAGATGATTATGAAAGATTCACTTTTACAAATATAATAATAATAATGGGAGGAAAAATGTGCACTAACGTCACCAGTGTTAACAATGATCAGCAGTAAAAAGACTGACGATGGTGTTGGCAGTAACAACAACAACAATACTGCTTGGAAGAAGGATTAGAAATAAGCGGTCACCCATTCAACACACACACAGAGAGAGAGAGAGAAAGAGAACCGGACACTTACACAGCACATCAATTAATTGATTGAAATAGAAGTAGGACAACTCAATTAGGAAGACATACATAAACACGCACATAAGTAAACAAAAAAGAAATAAGATAACTGAAAGTCTAAAGTCAAGGAGAAACCATAAGCAGTAATGTGGGGTTTTTTGTTTTCTCTTTGTTAGTCAACTATAATAGAACATTATTGTCCATTACATAAACATGGTTTATAGGTGTTCTTTTTTTTCTATAAAGAAAAACAAAGCGTCTATCCAACAAGACTTGTACAACAGTAATACCAATGATAAAATCAGTTAGAGCATAGAAGCATCTACTCATGTATGCACAAAGCCGTACAGCACTATTAATACACAACCGACAGTCATGCATACGCACACACACACACACAAACACACATTCATATATATACACATAACTCAATGAATCATTGTGCGATTTTGTATTTATTTTTCTTTTCTTTTCTTTAAAATTACAAAAAAAGAACCACCACAGAGAAGTAGTAGAAGTCAACGTCTAAATGAATGAATAAATAAATAAATCACTGATCAAAGTAGTACAATCATGTGTGTATAGTATATATGGTACTACTACGAATCGTACAGAAATACAGTAATGATAATAATAATAATGGCAAGAGGTTAAAACAAGTAAATAAGGAAGTAATAACATCAATTCTATCGATTATATTATTAAATATTATTGATAATAGTCAGAGAAGAAATCGATTACAAAATAATCCATTAACACTAATGATCAATAATGATCAGCAAGTTTTAATGAAGAAAAAAAGGTCGTTTTTTTAGGAGGATGACCGGGAATAGAATTACTAATGAACAAATATTAGTAACCAGTACACATATTACACATATACACACAAAGAAAAAAAAATTCAACTAGATACGTTCAAATGTCGAAGTATGTGTGTATAGAGATAAGACAAAACACCAAGAGACAAAAATAAAAGGTTAATGGGTTATAGGAAGAAAAAAATATAAAAAGATACTCAAAACAAAATACCTTGACAACAATAACTAATAGGTGGTAGGTGTTAACCGGGAACAGTAAAACCAATCAATCTAATGATCGATCAGTTGGTCAATATATAGATAGGTAAATAGATGAATCGATAGGAAAGAAAAGTACAGAATAAATGAAAGAGGAGGGGATTGAGATAGAGAGAGAGAGAGAGATGGGAATAAGTAGCAGTTTTACTAAGAGACAGAAATAAACAAGAATAAAGGAACAATCACCAATGGTAATATTCATGAATAGACTCGAAAATGTTGTTCTTGTTGTGTGTTTATATATATGTGTGTATACTTACATACTTTATATGAATTTATGAGTATGTTTGCCTATATATGCATACTTTTACCGGTGTCATCAAGAATATTGAATAACAGATAATGAATGAATCGGTTGACAAAACAACACAACATCACCAATATAAACAACATAAACACATACTACATAAAATAATTGAATAACAAGAAGATACAAAGACGAATATATAAAGAGGATATTCAATGAAAACACTTAAAAGAAGAAAGTACATTGTACCAATACTAATGAGTGTAAGTGAATAAATGAATCAATTAATTCATCAATCACTTAGCAAAGAAGTAACAACCCTAATCAGTTGTCAAATGTATAAATATCGAGAGAGAGAGAGAGAGAGAAATAGAGAGAGTTGACTGGCGCATGTAACTAATAAGTGTGTGTCTGTGTATGTATATTGTTTGATTTGATCTCCAGAATGGGATAACAAGGCGGTATTCAATTAATCATTCATAAATGAATATTTGATATGAACAACAAAGTTTAATTCAACTAATCAATCAAATAAATAGTTTGTATAGAAAAACAAATTGTTAAACTATCCATACTGGATACGTTTTGATGATTATGGGACTGTTGTTGATGGTTGTTGTATAGGAATATAAAGAAGCTTGTCAACACATAAAAACAAACTCATACAAACTGAATGAAAAATAAACACAAACAAACCAATACACACACACACACACACCGGGGTAATACAATATGAAATAAATACGTGATGAATGATTACTATTATTCACAAAAAGAACATTATTAATAATATTACAATTATTGATTGATTATTTTCGCTTCAGTCTCTTTATCAGTTACATAATTTACTAATCTAGGATCAGTTAAAAGGCGATAATCATTTGGTGACATAGATATGCCAATTTTATCACCAACATGATGTACACATGAAGAATAAACAGTTGGTGTAGAAGAATTTGTTAACATTCCATTGTTGTTAATCTCCCCACCATGACTTTGAATAAAATGCGCACTTTGAAGTCTACATCGATCAACTGTATAAATATTACTACTACTACTACTAGTAGTAGTAGTAGTGGCAGTAGTATTAGTATTAGTAATAGCAGTAGTGGTAGCAGTATTAATACTATTAGTAATAGTAGTAGTACGAGGAGGATGCATTAAGGAGTTAGAAGGTATCATACTATTGTGTATATGAGTAGTTTTCTGTTTGACATTTTTAATAGGATTGGTATCATCGTTATGCATTGGATTATATACACCGGTACGATTGGGTATATGAACGAAATGGGGACCAAAATTGGAACTAGCAGGAACAATATCTGAATGAACTTTTCCATCACCAAACTCTCCCATTTCTTCTCGAAAACTAGCCAAAGTGGAAAGTATTTCTGCAGTCATAGTACAACTATCACGTCGTCCAGCTGTTAGAGAGAAAAACAATACTCAAATTAAGTGAATTTTTTTGCATTACTGAAGATCATTTGAAATAAATCAATGTAGCTTTTTAAATCAAATTACAGTAAGAACGCCCCCAAACGCCACAGTACAGTCAAGGGTGAGAAGAATTAGCTCTCTCTCATGAAATCCTTTTATATAGCCACGAGTTTATAGTCGCTGCCACAGAATTTCTACTCATTGCCACTATGAGGCAGGGATGTTATTTACGGAAGTCATAAGACGAAAAGACAATGTTCGAGTTAGTAGGTATAGAGAATCTACCTGATTACAAATCAGTGGTACACATAGGCTCCTGGATCTTAAAAGAACGAAGAAATGGTGTACGAATTTACCATGGGATTGAATTTCTTGACGCTGCTCCACGACCTTTCGGATTCGTTCGTTTATTCGAATGCTCAGGGAATGATTTGTCAATCAAACCACTTGTTTGTCTAGGCTCCCTGAAAATATTCCAGATTACATAAAAATGTATCAAGCATTCTATATTTTGGTAACCTGTTGTATCAGGTTGTATTCGGATAAATAATAATAATGTAAAGGTATATGGGGAATAATGTTGAAATGACTCAGTGTATTTGTAACCTGCAATGGACGACTTTGTTTTTCTTTAGTCAAGTTGAATAATATGTACAACTGAAATACCCCAATGTTGTTCTGAAGAAAATAACACTAGGGTCAACTTCATTAAAGTGGAAGATAAGGCTTGGTGATGAGGGCATTCGACTTTCATTTACCATTTATAGCTCAGGAAATGTAATTACTACACCAGCCAATATATATATATATATATATATATATATATATATATATATATACTATGGATGATTGAAGTTGAAATGACTATAAAAGAATGTAACTAAGTAAAACGGGAACTAATTACAAGTATTTATTTATTTAAATGCGTAAACATTGGTACAAGGGGTCACCAAAATATGTATGCCCCACACTTCATCATCCGACTTGTGTGAAGGCTTGGATTCCGTCCGGGTGCTCAAAATGAAACAGGAGGTATTTTAGGAGGCCACACCCAGAGCCTTTGACCTACAGGTCTAATCCATAAAGCAGTGGAACAATGTTAGGAGATGCAATCCCACGGTAGACAGTAACCAACAATAGGTTCATATGCCATATATTCACTCAGGGTCCGGAAGCCTATGTGCACCACTGATTGGGAATCAGAGTTTTCCAACTCCCCTAGGTGGATCCTCCATATCCACCAACCCGGTTAAAGCACTGAACATTAACTTTTCATCCTCTCTATTTCGTAAACAACATTCCCACCACAAGAAGGCAGTGAGTAGGACGTCCCTGATCATTGGCTGTATATATAAGGCCATGTGAGAATATTTCTAGAGGTAAGAGTTGACTCTCCTCATCTTCGGTCATACTAAGGCATTTGAAGGCAAATATACAAGTGTCTTATTGTAAATCGGCCATTGAAACAGTTTATTTATTTATTTCAACACAGAAATATTGGTACAAGAGGGCACCAAATATATATGCGCCACACCATATTTGTGTGTGTGGGGGCTGTGATACTGCCCGGGTGCCCAGACCGAAACAGGTGGTTTTCTTAGGGGGCCACTCCCCGAGCCTTCGACCTAAAGGTCTGATCCACAAGGCAGTGGAGCATCTTGAGGAGATGCAATCCCATGGTAGCCGGTGACCAACGATTGGTTCATACGCCATTTGTTCCCGCAGGATACTGGAGCCCATGTGCACTATTGGTTTAGAATCCGGTTAAAGCGCCGGACAAGCGCTTTTCGTCATCTCATTTTCGTAAACAACACCTGTTGTACGAGAAGGCAATGAGTAGGACTTCCCTGGCAGAGGCTGTATAAGTGTGGCCGTGTGAGAGCATTTCGAGAGGGAGAGCGGGCCCACCCCACTCTCGGCTATACCAGGGCATTTGGGACATTGAAACAGACATTTCACTATATGATAACAATAATTAATAACTTAGAAAAAACTCCCTGTCATCTCTTCATATGATACAAGTTTTTAACACACACACACACTTTGCTTTACTCTGTTTAAAAATGATGAAATACTTCGACAAGTATTTCTTTTTCTACAACAGAACACAATATCAACTACAAACTAATTACAATTTTAGTAAATTATAATACCTACAACAAAATGTTAAAAAATTATCTCCTTTAGATTTGGTTTAAACCTATAAAGCATTATTTTTATTGAGATAATATTATGTAATATGTAAGATGTAATAATATCTGTATTATGAATTAATCACTTATACATTCTTCTGTATTCATTTTAATTGTATTATGATTGATTTACAAAATATTTGACATTTTATAAATGAATGTACAGAGAGTTTAATCATACAGTAAACTACAGTTGAAATATGGTTACAGAAAAGATATGTACACTTTCATAAAAACACTAGTGTCTAATAGTCAATAAAATATTCTCAGTATGGAGAGGAGGGGTGAAGTTGTGAAGAATTTGAATGTTACTGAGATCAAAAAGCCCTCAAATGCCCTGGTACGGTCGAGAGTGGGGAGAGTCAGCTATCCCTCTACAAATGCTCTCACATGGCTATGTGTATACAACCACTGATAGAGAAGTCGTACTCATTAACTTATCGTGGCTCACTGCCTTCTCGCACCACCGGTGTTGTTTACGAAATTTAGAGGATGAAAAGCGAATGTCCGGCGCTTTAACCGGATTCCAAACCAACGGTGCACATGGGCTCCAGTACCCTGAAGGAACAAATGGCGTATGAACCAATTATTGGTAACCGGTTACCATGTGACTGCATCTTCTCACGTTGCTCCACTGCCTTGTGGATGAGACCTTAACGTCAAAGGCTCCGGGTGTGCCTCCCTAAGAAAACCACCCTCTTCGGTTTGGGCACACGGGCAGTATCTCAGTCCTCACACAAATCGAATGATTTATGTGGCGCATATGTATTCCGTACCCAATTGTACCAATATGTGTTCAAATAAATAATAAATCATAAACCGATCTAAGTTAGATAACCAATGTAAACCATGAAGTTATTTCGTCGTAATATGGGACTCTTCATCACTGCACATCTAAGATACCAAAGACGGTCGCACCTAGAACTTGCATTTCTCGTTGCGATCGCCTAACTTTCACACCACTGAGTCAGTATCAAATGGTTTACACTTCTAACTTCAATAAATCCATTATATTACGCAACCATCTTTCATTATCTTCTATAGGTAACGACTCTACACTGGACATTGTTGAATTCCTCTAGAGTTTCATACTACGATGAAATAGCTATCCAGTGTTACTTGGTTTTCAATGGTTGTCTAACTTAGGTTGATTAGTATTCGCAACAAATTAAGGTATATTACATAAACTTACAATTTCCTATCTAAAATGGTAAAAAAAACTAATTACTAATACTACTGCCAATAATAATAAACATACGCATGTGTAATCACAAGATTGATTGGTCATATGTTCCAAGATCGACAAATCATACTGTATGCATAATTGTAATATTATTATCAGATGTAATAAATCAAATTTATTGATTAAAGCACATAAATATTGATATATATAAATGGGCACCAAAATAAATATGCACCATTACAAATAAGAAAATGAAATGGTAAATAGATAAAAAAAAAGGATAAGGGTAGTAAAATTAAAATATATAAATGAATAGAAATATATGAACAAGAATAGATTATAAAAGAAGGGATATTTCAATGATGCCCAGGACAGGGTTGGATGAAGAATGCTGGTGAGCGACCTATGCTTCTCCACGAAGAGTAACAGGCCCAAGTAAGTAACTAAGTAAGATATTTCAATGAGAGAACAAAAGTAAGGGAACATAGCTTAAGTTTAAGAAATTCTCAGTTTTATGAATAATGTAAAAGAACCACCATTGGCATTTGTTTTGAGTCATGTCTATTAATATCAAAAGCCATTGAGTTCCATCAACCTCTAGAATTTCAATCACTGGAGTTGTGAAGGACGACAGATGTTAGTCTCATACAGCTTTCTGTCATACCCTGAAACTATATCAGAAACTGATCATCACATTTGTAGCATATAATCAATCCGCCGAAGACGGTCATACCAATTGAGTTATCTGATTGGAGTTTGAATACACATTGTTGAACTTTCCCACTGAAAACAGGAGATTCTATGGAGATAACGATTATTGGACACAAACACCCATCTAACAAGATCAGTTCTAAGAGGCTATGTTTCACAAACATACAGCACATCTGCCCTTACCGGTGCGTTGTAAAACCGGCCTTATACATCCAGATCAAGAGATGTAATGAACGGTTCAGATTAGTAGAAATCACTCTGGCTTTTATTATACGTAGATTGAACTCATTTGTCGAGCTACCGCCATCAGCACTCACGTAACTATTTATATGTACAAACTTTCTGACCATTTCTAGCATGTTAGGCATAAAGTTGAGATTAATCGACTTTATGATTATTTATCAATAATTATGATTTCAAAAAGAGGGAAAACAAACAGATAAACGTAACTTTTGATAAATAAACAAACATACATATACATACAAATACTTACCAAAATGATTGGTAGACTCATCCGCCTTACAAATTAAATTAGGGAGTTGTAAATATTCATCCAAATCATTATTACCAGTACTAGTGTTACGAAGAAATAAATCATCTGTTGTTGTACTATCTTGAATACTACTATTGTTGCCACCGCCACTGCCACAAACGCCAACACCACTTGAACCAGTTGTTCCACTTCTAGCAACTCCTCCACTTGCAGTCAACATATTAACCAAATTACCTCTATGTGATTCTGCATGCTGTAAAGGTAAATTGTGTAGATGTGTACCACCAAAGGAATAATGATCTTGATTGAAATGAAAACTATGAGATGATGAGGTTGATAGTAAAGAACATGGATCAATGAGTTCGGAATACTTTGAATTTGTTGTCATTGTATTATTATTTTTATTGGACACACATGGATAAATTGATTTATTCATTGGTTGTTCTAAACTATGAGGATTATAAACACTAGAACGAATTTTCCAACTTTTGTGATGTTTCAATGCTGTATCGACAGTGGAATCCTAGAAAAGTTCATACAGCAACCAATAGGCAAAAAGAAAAAATAGTCGTTATAGTATTCCGGAAAAAATAGTGTCATAGCGTAGACTACAAAATAATTTCAACAATCATATCTTTAATATAATTTGAGAATTATACTCTAGGTTTTGATTAATTCAAAATTTTTAAATTTAGACAACTCTCAATAATCAATTCATAGTCGTGCCTCCTACTCCAACTAGCATGAAAAACAAATCATCCAAAGGGAGTAAGCACTGCGTATCAACCATTGCAATAAACTATTTCGATAGACTTAATCATCAAAATAACTGTAACTGAGTACATGGAAATATATGAAGATAAAAATGTTAGTTATTAAATTGTGAACGAGGTGACCGTGAATGCTGTTAGAGGTAACCGTCACTTCCTAATTACCGATGCCGTGACCGTAGATTCAGGTGGATAACAGACAGACAGTCTTTTTGTGGATAGTTTTAGATGAGTTAGCTCCATAGTTTAAAAGACTTATTGTTGGTGCCAGAAATCAGAGGAATAAGGTGTGTTATGCTAGTTTTAGGGTCAACCATTTTTATAAACCCTACTTTTTATTGTGAGAAAGTCTTATCGGTTCAAATGCTTATTGTCTGATGGAAACATTTTACTGTTGTCACACACCTTTACAGTCACGGAACTACTAGTCATGTAGCCCAGAGCTCAAACGATTGAGTATGTGTAGCTTGTTAAGAATTCCTCTCGACATGTGATAACACGAGCGAGTCTACACCTAGATTTGTGATATGATCAACGTTATTTATGACCACGCAAAACAGATTGAAATCCGTTTTAAATAAACATTTATTCGTTTAAAGGCTAATCAATACAATGCAAAATCAAGGGGAAAATTGTGAAAAAGATTTATATGCAAACAAAACTTTGAAAATGAGAACCGTTTTAAAAAGAGAAAAAAACTTACAATGTTTTTCTTTTCCATAGTACTACCACTGTTGTCCATATGCGGTCTAAACAGTAAAGAATAATATTTATACTCAAAACTCAACAAGAAAGAAGACTATTGAAACGATCATCATTCATTCACATCGAGTACATAATGTTTATGTCCTCGGGTTCTGGGCTCTATTACTGTTTACACGTGAACGAATACTGAAACCATTACTAGGCTGTCTAAATCATCAAAGTAGATGGAGTGGAGAGTAATTTACAAAGGAAAAGGCAACAATTTAAATTTGAATAATAGTTTCAACTACTAAGCAGTCACTGAGCTCCATTCACATTGAAAACATGAGCTTTAATGCGATATGTCAACCAGTACAGTGAAAATTACTGAGTCCAGTTACAGATATGAACTTGATTTGAAGCAAAAGATAATAGATCGGTAACTCAATGAGAACATTGACATTGATGATGTAGGCACATCCAGCTAACGAGCCCTAAATCAGACGTAGCATATGCCCTTTATTCCACCGCAAGCTATTATGACTAAATGGTGGTATTGATATGATCCGTTCAGGATCCACAAATGACACAGATCGACCAATTATAGTACCTTAACATCGACAACAGGCAAATACAAACTCACACAAATTCAATTGATGAATATGTTAGTGTGGACAGAGAGAAACGATGTAAAATCGGAAACTATTTTGAACTGTACTAAGAGAAAAAGATAATAAAATGAGTGAAAGCAATCATATGAGAACGGAAGAATAAGAGGAAAGATATAATTTGACATCTTTTGATCAATCAATGAATGAACCTGGGGCTAACTGAAAATCGATTCCAGTTAGTCTAAAGGTACTTATTTATTTCATAACAGTACACCTATCCTCAACAAGGAGATACTTTAATTCTAACATTGCTTCACATACTTATTCAACGTAGAATCTGGTATATATACACACGTTGATTCAAGTTGACACATCACAATAGTATGGAGAGATGAAATTACTAAGATAAATATCAGAGTAGTACAAATAGTAATACGGTTCGAGAATAAAAAACGAATTTGTGCAATAGAAAAGTATTAAATAGTTTTGCAACGCCAGATAACTCCATTTGCACTATTACGGTTAATTCTGAACCATATCATTCGAAGTCTACAGCCATTGGTCATAATAGTTGTGCAAATTGCAAACCAAGTAAGTAAGCACATGACTCAGTTTAACAACCGATGAGTACATAGACTGAAGGTTTGACCTCTCTTAGCTTTCTTCTAGCATACTGTTATACTAAAACACTTTCAAAATACCTGTAAATAAACAAATTCATTGAGAAGATTTAACACTTGGTGAATTTTGGAAATTCGTAGGCAGTCAATGAGATATGATCATAACTGCGGGTGACCTATTCAAGCTTACAACTTCAAACCGTAAGTAAATAAATCTGAAAACAGAAACGTACGTGCACATTTTCATCTCACAAGCAACTGGGTCAAATCCGTTTGATGACTGCGACTCTGTTGAACATGTATAGGGTCTTTTTGCTGGCATTAGATGCGATTCATTTGTTGGTAGTTCCGTATGAACTAAATGACTATTGTCCAGTAGATGAGTATCACGATGACGTCGAATAATACAAGCACGCTTAGTATCTGTATCATCCATAGGTGTTAAAATATTTGAAGTCTCTTCCTCTTCAACTCCTCTCAGTTTACATGCTGGCCTGAAGTAATGATCACTGGACATGATAGACCTAGGACTTAAAACATGTGACTTTTCTGTCTTCCCAGGACCATATGTATATTGTTCAATTGGATTTAATTGAATATCTGATAATGTATGGTGGATAGATGAATCAGAAGCAGTCCTTAGGAGAAATTAAACATTACAACTAGTAATAATATTAAACAAACATGCAACATAAATGTATATGAAGATACCTTTCCTCAATTGGGAACAATAAGAAAACTATTCCGTTTCAAAGTCCATACTGAATCAAATGGTAGAATGATTATTCAAAACAAGATTACCAAAATAAACTTATTTAAAGACTAATTATCAATTATAATGGAATTTCAACCTCTTGGATAGAATTTCAACAACAACAAAAATACTTTCTTCAATTATATTGTGATTTAAACGGAATTTTCAAAGTGTGATATAACGATAGGCAAAATTTTATTTCATCATCTGAAACAGTTACAGTGTGGTGTATGCTACTTATGTCAACAGACACTAATGACTAGTTTCATGAGGGAATTCTCAGAGTTCTAGTGAGAAGCTGTGATCAGTGAAGTTAATTCATGTCAGGTAGAGACAGGTATCTAGCCCAAATGCCCTGGTACGGCTGAGGGTGGGGAGAATTAGCTCTCCCTCTAAAAATGTACTCACATGACCACACATATACAACCACTAATCAGGAAAGTCCTATTCATTACCTTCTCGTGGTGGGGATGTTGTTTAAGAAATTGAGAGGATGAAAAGCGAATGTCCGGTGCTTTAACCGGGTTGGCGGATATGGAGTATCCACCTAAGGCGGATGGGAAACCCTGTAATTTTGTGTTAAACAATAAATTGATTGTCCCCACCTGAGTTCTCGTTCACTGGCAACAGGACACTTTAATGTTCTGGTAATCATATCAAAATATTATCATCAATAAATAGAATGTAATTAAATTTGGGAATCAAATACAGGTTAATGGATTCAAATTTACATGGGTTACAATTTTTGGTATGGTTTTTAATGATACTGCACAACTGTTCAAGTTAAAGCAAGTGAATAGGTGGTTGAATAGAACTACTGAATGGTTAATTAAGTCAAGTGTACAGATAATAATTGTACAAGATAATAGAATGCTTTCGTTGAGAATCCAAGATTGTATGCACCCGAAATAATAATAATAATAATAATAGTTAATATATCGAGTTGATCTTAAGTCACCAATGAAAAATTGGAGGCATTCGATGGTTGTCTAGACCCAGGATGGGACTCCTCAGCAGTCCGCATCCACGACCCCGAACCTAGGTATCGAGCCCGGGGTCCTCAGTCCGGAGCGTAAGCGTTTAACCTATGGACCATTGGGTCAGTATCCAATGATGTTAATATCTAACTTCATGAATACGTACTGCTGAGGAGTCCCATACTAGAATGAAACGTCTGTTCAGTACTTCCAGGTTTTTCAACGATAATCTAGCGAAGATCAATTCGAAGTTTAAACTTTGAAAACACCAAAATCTCCACAAATTCTCTAGACTATTACTACTACGATTGATATTAAAAATAGTAATAATAATAATAATCAGTTAAAAATGTGTAATTACCTGCGCCAATCAACCACTGAATATGGTGTTTGAGCTTGTCTAATCTGTTCAGTAATATTAGCAGAAAATGGTGTTTTCAATTGATGTTGTAAAGAATTTGTAGGAGGAAAACTTCGAAATCCAACTGGTGTACATATACCAGCACTAAAATAACCTGATTCACATGTATATTGACTTGAATTCGTTAATGATGATTGTTGTGTAAGTAAACTAGTAGTAGATGCTACTTCAACATTTGAATGTGATGTAGAAAATAAATAAGGATTTGTAGAAATATGTGATTTTGGTTGTAAACTATGATAGTATGGTTTAGTATTTGTAAATAAATTAAAATTCTTTTGAATATGATGTTGACTAACAACTGCAACACTGGAACATTCATTATTCCAATTACTGAAAATTGAGAGGAAGAAAAAAATAGAGGAATTAAATTTATCAAGTGTATGTACAGTCGGACTGTGAGGAGAGAAAAAAAAAGAACATAAATGATGAATAGCGATCTAGGTCGAGAAAGTGATGAAATTTCTTAGAAGTAAAAATACAAAATATCAATGATGGTGATGATTTATTATTTATTTCAACAAACATTGGTACAAAGAGGGAACAAATAGATATGCGCCACACTTTATCATTCGATTTGTGTGATGTTTAGAATACTGTCGGGGTGCCCAAATCGAAGCAGGTGGTTTTCTTAGGGAGCCACAAACGGAGCCTTTGACCTAAAGGTCTGATCCGCAAGGTGGTGGAGCAACATTAGGAAATGTAGTCCCATGGTAGCCGGTGACCAACGATTGGTTTATATGCTATTTGTTACTTCAGGATCCTTGAGCCCATGTGCAGAATTGGTTTGGAATGAGGGTTTTCCAACTGCCCTAGGTGAACTCTCCGAGTCCACTATCCCGGTTAAAGCGTCGGACATTCAGTTTTCGTTCTCTCAACTTCGTAAACAACACCTGTTGTGCGAGAAGGCAGTGAGTAGGACTTCGCTGGCAATGGTTGTGTGTACGTGGCCATGTGAGAGCATTTGTAGAGGGAGAACTGACTCTCCCCACACTTGGTCGTACCAGGGCATTTGGGGGCAAACGAGAATATTCATTTGAACTGATTTATAACGATAAAACCACAGCAGTGTCACATTATATTGTGAAATAATGAGTAACTCACATTGACAATGTTGATTATTAAGTGACTAAATTTTTAGAACATTTACACATTTAAATATGATTTGTAAACAATTTATTCTGTTTGCTAATTATAGTCTCCTATACATTTCTCCCTCTCTATCCACTATATCCCATCAAATTTACTACGTGGTTTACGCAAGTTTGTCTTTTGAATACTGATGAAGTTGTCAGAATCCATGTTCGTAAACCTAACCTCTGCATAAAAAAAGAATTTTGTACAACCACCCTCTCTACCTAGACAATTGTTATAGGGGTGAGTTTTTAACTGAACTATGATTAAAGCCTTTATTTCAAAAATACTCAAACAAATTTCTAATTTTCAGTACAGTCGAGAAGCGATTAAGGTTAGACATTAAGACCGTTGGATGCTGGCTCAGTGATCTAGAGATCGAGACTTAGCGTCCAAGACCAAAGTTCCTGGGTTCGGGTCCCATGTGTGGGATCGTGGATGCTCACTGCTGAGGAATCTCACATCAAAATGAAACTACTGTCCAGTGTTTGCAGGTTTTTAATGGTGGTCTAACTTAGATCGATTCATGATTTCAGTGAAATTTTCTAATTTCCTTCACTTCTGTATTTTTACATATTTTCAATATGTCTTTTGATTCTCACATAACTACTATAAAACTGACATTTTATCGAAATAGTTTGTTAGTTCTTTTTATATATTATACGAAGTAACAACTGTTTAATTTCTCAAGTAATTACTTTGATAACATTGATCCTCTTTCTTCCAATTGCTCAATATTATTTTTATGATCACTATAATATTGTATAATTAGTACACAACGTAAATACTCGATGAGTACTATTTTATTATTGATTGGGATCATGAACAGATTGATGTTAGACCACCATTGAAAAACCTGGAAGCACTGGACGGCCGTTTTGTCCACTACCTTGTGGATCAGACCTCTACGTGAAATGCTCCGTGCGTGGCCCTCTAACAAAACCACCTGCTTCGGTTTGGGCACCCGAGCAGTATCTTAAACCTCACACAAATCGAATGATAAAGTGCGGCGCATATCTACTTAGTGCCTCCCCTTGTACCAATGTTTATGTGTTTAAATAAAAATAAATAAACTGGATACATTATTTGTAAAGTCATTCGAAATAAAGATCGGTGTCAGGCAAGGTTGCTTACTCTCACCCTTTCTCTTTCTCCTGGTGATCGACTGGATCATGAAAACGTCAACATCTGAAGGAAAACACGGGATACAATGGACATCTATGATGCAGTTGGACGATCTAGACTTCGCAGACGATCTGGCCCTTCTATCCCAAACGCAACAACAAATGCAGGCGAAAACGACCAGTGTGGCAGCAGCCTCAGCAGCAGTAGGTCTCAATATACACAAAGGGAAAATCAAGATTCTCCGATACAACACAGCATGCACCAATCCAATCAAAATTGACGGAGAAGATTTGGAAGATGTAAAAACCTTTACATATTTGGGCAGCATCACTGGTGAACAGGGTGGATCTGATACAGATGTGAAGGCGCGGATCGGCAAAGCAAGAGCAGCATATTTAAAACTGAGGAACATCTGGAACTTAAAACAACTGTCAACCAACACCAAGGTCAGGATTTTCAATACAAATGTCAAGACAGTTCTACTATATGGGGCAGAAACCTGGAGAACTACGAAAGTCATCATCCAGAAAATACAGGTGTTTATTAACAGTTGTCTACGCAAAATACTTCAGATCCGTTGGCCGGACACTATTAGCAACAAACTACTGTGGGAGAGAACAAACCAGATTCCAGTGGAGGAAGAAATCGGGAAGAAGCGTTGGAAGTGGATAGGACACACATTGAGGAAAGCACCCAACTGCGTCACAAGACAAGCCCTCACATGGAATCCTCAAGGCCAAAAGAGGAGAGGAAGACCAAAGAACACATTACGCCAAGAAATGGAAATAGACATGAGAAAAATGAACAAGAATTGGATGGAACTAGAAAAGAAGGCCCAGGACAGAGTGGGTTGGAGAATGCTGGTCGGCGGCCTATGCTCCATTGGTAGTAACAGGCGTAAGTAAGTAATTATTTGCAAAGAACTGTACAACTGATAACAAATTTTAATAGAAACCTTTATCAAACTTAAAGAAGCACAGTGTAAATTCAACTCATGTGTTTCTCAAAAATCATGATCGGCATGTAATTGTTCAAATAACATAACACATTTTTTTACAACAAGATATATATACTACTCTCAAAATATTAAAAAAATAATGAGTAGTTTAGTTTTTATTGAAGAACAGTAAAAAAAATTGTACTTAACTAATCTAAGTAACCTTAAGGGAAAGTATATTACTAAACGAACTTTAAGATGATGAAAATATATCTTTATCTACCTTATAGACAAATGAAGTATACACTCTCTATTATCCCCTAAACTGTGAGATTAAAATCGCTTCAAATCTTTCTACATACTAATTCTTTCCTCAAGTACTATATTCTAATATACAGTCTTTCTTTGATACATTATTACCACTGAATTAACTACTTCTATGAATCCGGTATTCATCTTGTTGTGCTAATGAGGTATGGCAACTTGGACCGATGCGCATATCTGCCTGGTACAGGTTGTAGCTAACTGACTGAATCTGTATTTAACAATTATAGTACCAGATTTTAAATGATAGAATAGTTTCAGGAGATTGATTATGAATACTGTGATCTTGAGTGCTGTTAGAAGTATGAAGGTAGTTATCACTTCCCGGTTGCCCACACTGTAGAAGGGTTCTTCTGGAGGTACCTGAAAAGAAAATTGGGTCAGATCTGGTCTTAATGACCTGAGAGTGTGATCGCAATGCCCAAGAGACAACTGCTTGAGGTTGGTCACACACGACTTTTTTGTGAATAATTTTCGTATTAGCTCCGAACTTATTGGGACCTTATCGCCGAAAACGGAAATCCGTGGGATAAGGCCAGATGTGCATTTTTAGTGTAGACCTTTTCTAACCCCACTCCTCCTTGTGAGAAGGCAGCATCGCTGTTATTATGCTGGTTGTCTGAAGGAAACACCTTACTGCTGCCACACCTTTGTACAGTCAGCAGTACGAGCTCGCCTTTGGATCTTGGGTTTATGAATGCGTAATATATTTTTTGGCTGAATAGTTTATGGTATAGGTAAACATTTATTTTCTAAAATGATACTTGCTAAGTTCAAATTTCATTCAGTTCACTGATATTTACTTAAAGTCAATTTAATTTAACTTTGATAAGACATGGCTCAAATAAACAATCCATGAATTTATGGATTAATGCCATATTTTGATTTGTCTGCCACTAGCTCATTTTTAACCTAATTTCATGTTAATCAGGATTTGACACTGGGGTAGACGATAGATAAATATATATAACACATGATCTAAACACCTCAGTCGATGAACAGTTATTAGCCATATCAATCAACTTCCCAATTTTATATAGTACCATATGCCTGGCGTTGGTATTACTCACGTGATGGTTCTTCGATATTTCAGTAGTGCTTCGAAGATACCTATGGACAAATAATTGCAGCTAATACGTGAATTCCACTTTCGTATGCTATGATTCACAAAAATACAGTGATTTGCTGCATAAAAGTATAATTGAACTTCGGCTAACAGGAAAAATTTCACCTACAACCCAGATTAGCAAAAGACAGACAAAATGTTTGGATCCTTACCCAGATATTATCAACCATCAACCTACAAGGGTTATTGAGATTTCCCATGATGAGTGAAGTAGTCCATATGCTTGATTTCAAATGGTAAACAAGCATAAACATAGAACAACACATAAGCGAGCAATATTGCTCTCAATTAGATTTTTACCAGACTTTACTATAAAAAAACCTGGTAAAACAATAGTTCTGTGAAAGAGAATGGTGATGTCATAGAAGCACTGCTTGTACACTTCGGCACCAGTGAATAAGCCTCCGTGGCGCAACCAGTAAAGCCCCCAAATGCCCTGGTATGGACAAGGGTGGGGGCGGAAAGTCAACTCTTCCTATACAAATGCTCACACAAGGCCACGCACATACAACCATTGACTGGAAAGTTCTACTCACTACTGTTTTTTACGAAATTGAGAGGAAGAAAAGCGCATATATATTTGGTGCCTTTTTGTATTATTATTATTTCAACACATAAATATCGGTACATGAGGGCACCAAATATATATGCGCCACACCATGTTTGTGCGTGTGTGCTGTGACACTGCCCAGGTGCCCAGACCGAAACAGGTGGTTTTCTTAGGGGGCCACACCCCGAGCCTTCGACATAAAAGTCTGATCCACAAGGCAGTGGAGCATCGTGAAGAGATGCATTCCCATGGTAGCCGGTGACCAACGATTGGTTCATGCGCCATTTGTTTCTTTAGGATACTGGAGCCCATGTGCACCATTGGTTTGGGATCCGGTTAAAGCGCCGGACATTCGCTTTTCGTCCTCTCATTTTCGTAAACAACACCCCCGCCACGAGAAGGCAATGAGTAGGACTTCCATGGCAGAGGCTATATACGCGTGGCCGTGTGAGAGAATTTCGAGAGGGAGGGTGAACCCACCCCACTCTGGCCATACCAGGGCATTTGAGGTGCCTCTTTGTACCAATATCTATGTGTTCAAATAAATAAATTAAATAAAAGGCATGACAGATAGATTAATAAGGTAGCGAATCTTCATTAATTGAGAGGTTGGGACATATGTTATGCACCCTTCAATCGCTGAATAACCTGACGGGTGATATTGCCTGGTGTAGGAGTTTGGGACGACAAAATTAAGACAAGTTTATAAACTCACTGATAATTGGAATGAACCATGTCAACAGAAGTAGATTGCCTGATTGGGGTCTGCGCACACATCGTAACCAGTGTTAGCAAATTTAAGTGACATGGTTCAAAATTATTAGCAACAGCGGAGGTGCATTCACTCTTTGTCTTCTCTTAGAACCTCAATCCTAATATCTCTATAAATTCTTTTCTCTGTTCACACCTAATCATTTCTGTTACCACTGAAATTGTTTCTACTTCCACACAGATTGATCCTAATCACGATATCATTTAAAACTAGGAAGTGCAGTTGAAATCCACTTTGTCCTATTACGAAACACTTGAGTAGTGTGTGCGCAACCACGACACCAAGGGTCAAACATAAGACCTTCAGGTCTCACGACAAACGCCTAGTCATTACAAACATTGAGTCGGCACCTAATTGTAGAATTCGAACTTCTACCACTTGGTGACAAATACTACCGACAAATGAAACTAATCTTTAAAAAATCCCTCCAACTAAAATATAATACTCAGCTTATACTAGTGACCTACTTCAAAATGTTCTTGAAGTCCTAATGAGTTGTGACTAGAGGATATCAGAAATGTCAGAAGGAAAACAGCTAAGATGTGTGATCGCCGCACTATTTTGCGAAATTGATTGAAGGTGGAACTGTACCATTGGATGATGATTAAATGTTCCGAATGGTCGAAAATTCACTGTAAGACCTAAAAGCCCTGGGTTCAGTCTTGACGGAGTCATGGGTGTGCACTGTTAAGGAGTCCCACGCTGGAACAAAACACCTATCCAACGCTTCATTACTTACTTACGCCTGGTACTCCTCGTGGAGGAGTATAGGCCGCTCACCAGCATTCTCTATCCAATCCTGTCCTGGGCAATCCTCTCCAGTTCTTTCCTGTTGTTATTAATCCTTTTCATATCTGCTTCTACTTCCCGATGCAATGTGTTTTTTGGCCTTCCTCTCTTCGCTTCCCTTCAGGATTCCAAGTTAGGGCTCGCTCGTGATGCAGTTTGGTGGTTTCCGTAATGTATGTCCTATTCACTTCCAACGCCTTTTCTTAATTTCCTCTTCAGCTGGAAGCTGGTTTGTCCTCTCCCACAGAAGGTTGTTGCTGATGGTATCCAACCAATGGATGTTGAGTATCTTGTGTAGACAATTATTTATAAATACTCGTACCTTCTTGCTGGAAAATCGCCAACTAGATTAAACAACGCCCCATAGTTTTCAATAATACAACGACTGATATCCGTCTGTGATGAATACCATCGATAAATTAAACCAATCTTTACAAACCCCCCCCCTTAACTAGACAATTTCCTCAATTAAATTTTTCCGAAAAAAACAAACTCCATGCTACTTACTCTAAACAGCTTTTAGGAGCAGAATGTTGTGTAGGTGGAATAGTAGACCAAGAGGATGACAAGTAATTATCAGATGATGCATAATCAGTATCATGAATAAAAGTATTACGTTCATGTAAATGATGAGATGTATCAGGTGTTGTAGTTGTTGTTGTGGTAGTTTTTGAACCAATTGGATCATACAAAAATGGACAAACATTTGGATTTTGAGACTTTTGCGATAATTCTTCATCTAATTTAACCGGAATAGTTTCTTTAATTGGTACATTACTACTAGGTAGTAGTCTTTGAACAACTCGTTCATCATGAATATTTGATGCTGGTGGATATACACTGGTATGAGAACTAGATACACTGGAGCCATGTATATCTTTACGATCGACCTGGAGGATGAAAGACAAAAATGAGCAATGTTATAAATGAATGATAAATTTACACAATATTATCGTTTATGACCAATGTAGGACCTGGCACAGATGAGCATCAGTTTAAGTTTACGTACCAAATCAGTAGCCAAATGAAATTAACATAATAATTAGTATTGGAAAAGAGTTGAAATAATGTTACTAGTACCAACGCTCGTCAAAACAATCAGTCATAAAGAATATTATTTGTAGAAATGACTAAAATAAAGCAAATCTGTTAGTAATTTTTGTTAATATCTGCATTTTTATTTAAATCAATTTGTGCATTTTTCACCACTGATTGTTAAAAAATTCTTTCGAATTGTAATGTTGTCTTCTTGAAGTATATATTTTTCAATAGTTGAGATCATGAGTCAATTGAATCTAGACCAGCATAGAAAACCTGTTTGTTTATTGACTATAGTTTACAAAACACTATTTGAAGGGGTTTTGTGGATATTTTAGTAATTTCAAAAGTTGTAATCATGAGTCAACTGAAATTAGACCATCATGAAAAACCTGGAATCACTGGACGGCAGTTTCGTCCTAGTATGGGACTCCCCAGCAGTGCGCATCTACGATCCCGCCCCTCCCCACGCGAGATTCGAACTCAGGACCTGTCAGTCTCGCGCGCGAGCGCTTAACCACTAGACCACTGAGCCGGCATTCGACGGGAGGGCGAGATCGTGGAAGCGCACTGCTGAGGAGTCCCACACTAGGACGAAACGACCGTCCAGTGCTTCCAGGTTTTCCATGGTGGTATAGCTTCTATTGACTCATGATTTCGACTATTGAAAACACTGTTTCCAAATATCTGTAAAAATTCGTAAGTAAATTTAGAACGATTATAGATAAAAGGAAATGGAATATCCTATGGTTAATAAAAAGACTGTCTTCTTAAAACTTGACTTCAAATGAGATGGAATAGCTGGGAGGATTGATTTTAGACTAAAGGCAATACTAAAAAATGTATTTCGCGACCAAGTTGGTGTCTCTATACTAAACCAAATACTCATTGTGACAATCAAATGTGGACGAATACCCGCCTTATGCAACCCTGATCTGTGTTTATCAGTTTATGTATACGTGCTAAAGCACATACATCGAAAGAAAAGGAACGAGGGTTTGTGTCTGAATCTATGAACATATTCCACAAAAGCTGAGACTAAACGGACAGAAGGTTTTCAGGTCAATTGCTCGATAGTGGGCATGATGAAGTTGCGAAATCTTTAAAAATAATCAATAAACAAAGGGATTTAAAACTGTCACACTTTGCAATAAAAATATTTAAACCAAATATATGAATCCAGAAAGAAACAGTTATAAATCTTTTTTACCTTGGTGACCATATTTTTCGTGAGGCTATTGCGTAAGACCTTGTGTTTATTGTTCCATCAACTTTAATCAAAATCCTAATATGCATATTTCACAGTATCGCAGGGAAAAAGAATTGGTTCGTAGAAAGAAAGGTATAAAGAGAGTTTAATCTCATAGTTTAAGGGAAGACAAAGAGTGTATATACCGACGCCATCGGGATCAACCCTGAAACATGTCACTCAGAGTCTCCAAACATTGGTTACGATAGTCGCTCAGACCCCAAACCAAGTAGTCTGTATCTACCAAAATAGCTCAGACAATAAGTTAGTGCCTTTGTGTACTGATGCCACGTTTTGGTTTGGCCGTCCCTAACTTTCTTCCAACCATCCCCAACACTAATCAGCATTGCGCATCGTGGTAATAGGTGTTTAGACATACGTAACACGTGGCCCAATCATCTCAGTCGATAAAGATTCACAACCTATTCAACTGATTTACCTTCATCTCCTAATCTAATACCTGCACTTAACCTTATCACATTAGCATATGAAGTGAAATAATTAACGGGACATAGAACTGAGGACAATAGTATCAACAGCAATGAGAACTTAAAGATAAGGAATACAATTCTAAAGAAGTGGATAGCATCAGGGAGTGAAAAGTACGGAGTACCACGAAAACTGAAATTCAGATAACAAGTGAATGTATTAGTGCTACTGCAACTGATGTCGGACCTTATCACTTAAGGTTTTCAACCACAAATTATGATTAATTTACAAATCACAAACAAGAAATATACAACTGCCTACGTGTCTCGAACTAAAAGCTACAAACTTCATGAACAAATGCACGATTCGAATACAATTATTGTTGAGAGATTGTTTAGTAGTGTAATTCATACTTCATGCACCAATTTTACTAAAATACATTTTTGATTCGGGACAATGAGGACTTGATGTTATACTCTCGCTAAACCTAAGGTATTGACGTACAACGATATAATGTCAGTCAGTAGATTTAGCCACAGACTAAAACATTATTTTACTAGGAGCATATAATATATATCCTGATTACCAATGGCAGACGGGTTACTCGCTTTCAGTAACAAGTGGAGTACTAGAAGCGCCGTCTCCCGAAGTGAAGCGCTGAAAAGGGTGATCATGAGACGGTTTATAATCCTATCGCTAGTAAAGAAAACTAAATATTCAATGTATGTTTTGGCATATACGTGTTAAAGGAATATTAGTTTATGTGTTTCCAACAACTAAAAACAATTTTTGCTGGGCTTTTAAAAATGTGCCGTATTTCGACAACTCAATCACTGAAGATACCACAGGGGTATTATAATGATGATCATATGCGCCATGAATATATATTGTGGAAGTGATCTATCCCGTTACTAATCCATGAAACGAAATCATAAGCTAACATGAGGGTTGCTTGGTCAAGTACATTTGATGAGTCCTTTTTATCGACATACAAACGTCCAGTAAATGTTTGTTGATCTATAACTCAAAACAGGCGTATAAAATTGGCAAAATCCAATCGACATTATAGGAAAAGTTGCAAACAATTTCTGCCATAGAAATGCAGCGACCATTACGTCTTTAGAATTCGTTCTGATATTCTTAGATCAATTGCTTATAGTTTATTTTCATTAGGCAATGATACTTTCAGAACAAAACATCACATGAAAAGCGAGTATCGATAGACAAATGCAACAAATAGACGATTGAGAGATGATTTTAAAAAACTGACGCTGCTGTGAAATTGCAAGCTGTGTTTAAAATACTTAGTGGTATTCCAAGTATCCGAAGCTACTCGCATAAATATCTGTACGGTTAAAAAGTCTGTAGCTAACGAATGTGGTCACGTAGTTATTTCCTTACAAAACGAAATTTCTCTGACGTTAAACCTAAGATGTGTCAGACGCACTATGAAGTCAAGAACTTCGCCTCTGAATTTTGAGACTTATAGTAACTCAAACTAAGAGAAACAAACGAGCAAAAATACCAACACATAACCGCGAAAGTTAAAACAAAAACCAATGTCTACAAACCATGATACGAAGTAAACTCACCGGCATATCTTTTTGGAAGAACGGGGTTTCCTGACTAGAGTTATCCCCAGTCTTTAACGTCTGATAGTCAGTATTACTAATATTAGACAGGGAGTATGCTTTTAGGATTCCCGAGCGATTCGGGACACTTCCAGATAAATGATTATGATCAAGTGATAATGGAAGGCCGTCGTAGGCATGTGCAATCTGAATGTAAAATCGTAATGCCAAATGGTGTGACAACATACCTTGCAGATCTCCTGGGCGTCTCTCATAGCAGCAGCAAAGTTTGCTGTAGACGCCGCTTCTTTCATTTTGAGAAGTTCTATCTTCTCTTTGAAATTTCGTGGATTGGAGTACCCAATATGTTTAGTCGTCATTTCAGCCGTTTAACATTTGCTCACAAAACTAAACTTCTAAGATGAAGCACACGAAGATCGGTAATAAAATTTAAATATAATTCAGTCTGAAAAATTTGGTATGAAATGTTGACTGACACGTTTTATTCATATACAGAATTTTTAATTGGTAGCGTAAAAACTTGATAAGATCTACTTGAAATCCACAAAATCTTACAGTAAGCTATATTTTGCACTATGCAGTGCATTTAGTTTCAGATATATTACGGAAATGAAGAAGAGTTATTTAGTAATTCCCAACGAACAATAGCAATGCCGTCACAAACTGCCTTAAAGACCGCCTTCGTTAACCTAGAAATTTAAAACTTCAATTTCAAACATTTTACGTTTAGTTTCTCTCGTGGATACAGAGGGAAGAAAGTTCGTCGAAGTTTGTGTATAAATCGCCAAAGATGATTATCAGATGCAGATAGTTCAACTTGACGCTTGTAGAGGTAAATAAATCCCCAAAATAAATAGCTCTGTAAGTTTTTGACATTGGATGCTGACCACGTTAGTGTTAATGGACTCACCTAGCTGAAGGCGCTCGGTCATGCATCCGCACCAAATCACGAGTGGGGAAGACGTGCTCAACAACCCCTGCAATCGCCAGTCAGATTATATCAGACGATCCTCGATGTATTGATAGCCTATCAAATATATCTTCGAACCTCCTCACTCTTGTCTTTTGATTTCACTTGGTGGGTACGATTCATAGTAGGAGGTGTAACTTGTTAAAGCGTTGTCAAACTTCGAATACCTGTGTCATCTTCACTCTGAAACCTCTTCCTGACGAAAGAATAGACCGAAATACAAAGTCACAAAATTGACTACTCACTGTTGACTTTGATCAAGACGGCGTTTTGAAGGCACTGAGCGCATTAGACACGGGAAAACCAACAGGATCGTATGAACTACACCCTAGATTCTTGAAAAATATTCAACCACATATTGCCTCTTTGATTACGATACTCGGTATATCACTTGGCAAAGATGAGTTACCTACGTAGTAAAAGGATGCGATCGTCACTTCAATACGTGAAACAGTAACGAGACAACTTCCATCAAGTGATAGAACCGTCAGCTTCACCAGTGTCGTGGTTAAAATATTGGAGATAATAATCAAAAGGCCATAATAACAGTCATGGAAACCAACAACTTGTTAAACACCCGACAATATTATTTCAAAAACAGATTATCTTCAGCAAGAAATATCCTTGTGGCAAAAGAGCGATGGATAGAGGCCCTAGACAACGGAAAATCAGTGGGTGGTGTGTACGTAGACTCCACCTGGAAACCAATACGTACTGAAGTACCGCAAGGCTATGTCCTAGATTCTTTACTTTTTATACTGCATGTAAATAAATTTCCATGTACAGTTCAGCCCCACTGTCGCTATATGACGTAAGGCTCTGGCGATAAATAACAGGAAACACAAATGCATGTGCACTACAGGCGGATCTATATGTCCTGATTTGCTTGCCTTAAAATGACTGATGCATGTCAACACAGCCGAGTGTGTCTATATGCAAAATGGGGATGCAAAGGTAAGTAGGCACAGCATTGGAAAAAAGTCAGTGCCCGCAGTCCGGTCTAAGAAAGATCTTGTGGTGACAATGATCCGTGATCTTAAGATAGCGACCCACTACTGTGAGGTTGCAGCTAAAGGGTTTAGAACCCTATGGACATTTACGGACATTTACCAAGTTAGGTACTAGTTCGTCCACTACAGTAAACACAGCCATAGTCGGATACAAACACAAAAACTGTTTTGAGGCTGCAAGCCCCTGTTTACAAGGTGGCGCGGATATCTTTGAAGAAGTACAGATGACAGTTAGCTGTGCAATTCCAGAGCTTTGAGCTTTACCATACAAAGGGTAGTTTGAGAAGCTAAACGTTCTTACTGTGTTACATCACAGATAAAGACGTCATCTGATTTTGATGTACAAAAACTAAGAAATGATTTTTCCTCTCACCAGACCAGGATAAATTAAAGGAGATACCATTCGAGTATAGAAGCAAAGAACGAATAAAATCCTCGTGATATACAGGACTTCACATGAAGTCATAAATTCTTGGGACCTTTAACCCGAAGAAGTGGTGTCCCTCCCTTCAGTTGACTCATTCAAGAGAAAACTAAACGCTCTCAGTTTACTAGAAAAGGGCGACATAGACCGTAGGCCTTCAACCCGCAGTTCACAAATCTGAATCTAAATCAAGACAAAAAACTAAAACCTGATGAATATGAAAATATTATATTACAGCTGGAAATTTTTTTAAATTCACTAAGGAATAGTATCAGAGGGGGTTTTGTGGAGATTGTAGTAATTTCAATAGTTGTATTCGTGTGTCAACTGAAGCTAGACCACCATGAAAAACATGGAGGCAATGGACGGCCGTTTCGTCCTAATGTGGGACTCCATAGTGGTAGTGCGCATCCACGATCCCGCCCCCCGCAAGATTCGAACCCACGGCATATCGGTTTCGCGCCAGAGCGCTTAAACATTAAACCACCGGGCTGGCCGTCAACCAACAGCGTTAATGTCTAACTTCAACCAATCCCCGAAATTGAGCGACACATCCACGATTGTCTTCGGTGAGTTACTATTTCACAACTGACCTGGTTGAAATCTACTGGTCACTGTTTCTCACTAGAACTCCAGGATGTACCTATTGAAACCAGTCACTAGTGAGCACATGTTGATCAGTGTCAAAAGAGGCCTTGTGTGGATTTTAGTAATTTCATTTTTTGAGATCATGAGTCAGCTGAAGCTAGACCACCATGGAAAAATCAAAGAGTCCCGCAATAGACGAAACGGCCTTCCAGTGCTTCCAGGTTTCCCATGGTATTCAAGCAACTCATTATCTCAACAATTGAACTCATTAATGAATCACAAATTGGGTAAATGCCTTTCTGATTGATAGGAGGAAACGAGGATGGGTAAACGGGGTCTAATCAGCATGGGAATCTGTGAAGAGTAGAGTCCCATATGGTCTAATCTTCAGTCCTCTTTTTTTCTCAGAATTGTGAAAATGATCTACTAGCGGCATCGAAATCCTCTGTTTTACTCTTTACTGGTGGCATTAGGATTTTGAAACCTATATACTGAGTTTTTGATAGGATAATGTTTCAGGTAGACTTAAATTCACCAGTTGAGTTGATGAGTAAGTGTTAATTATAAATTATTTCTTTCAGGAATTTGGTGATGAGAAAACGCAACAATTTATGTAAAAAAGAGCGAAATTTTATTACCTTAATTAGTGGATTTTAAAGATCCTGCAGTCATAATTAGCAGAAACCTTTGAACTATGTCTAACACTAAGGCTGTTACTGCTACAGCCTTTGTAGTCTTGTAAGAAAGTCGTCTTGCCATTCAGAAAAGGAATTTTTCATAGTATCATGCGCGACATTTATGAGTCGCATTTAGAATGTGAGATTTAGACAACGAGTTCTTATTTCACGTTTGAAGCGTATATGCTGTAATGAGCCCAGAGACGAGGGAACAAAATGGAGAACGACTTCAGTGATCTTCCATGTGAAGACAGACTGAGACACCTCATCCTATTCTAATAATCTTACTTCAGGTTGCAATGGAACTTACTACTGGATTTCTGTATACCAAACGATAATCTCGATCATCTTTTCCTTTAACCAAGGATTGGCTATCTGTGATCACATTCAAGGAAAATTCAAAAAGCGAGAATGAACCGTTTACATCTGGTGTTTCGATTCTCTCAGCAGGTAATGGATTATTGGGATTCTCTACAAGAACATGTAATACCAGTATGTTTTTTTATACATTTGAGGCGAGATCGGATCTCAGTGGTGTCACAAGTTGTGAAGAGTAATATGGACCGATTGACTGCCTATCCTCCTGGGTAGTTACAATGTGAGATAATATTATTGAGGAATATATTTCAGAAACTCTTAATACTGTCTTTCCAGCCAGTTTCCTTAACCTCAACTGCTTCTCCACGTCACCTAGAAAAAATGGAGAGTAGGTGAGAATTGTAAGTGAAAGCTTTAATTCAAAGTTAGTTCATGCTCAGAAAAATGACTGTTTACAGAATCCTTTATAAACTTAACCTACAATAGGTTTTCGGAACCATACTGAATACTGTGACAGTATTGGTAAATACCCAATCAAAAGTATGCTTATCCTTCCATTTTTAGATGATTCTACAAGTTTCTTATTAAATTCCGCTTGGCTAACACTGATTGAAGTTTTCTGAAACTCTAATGGCTTAGATGAGAGATATTTTGGCACTCCACAACAATTTTACGTTAAAGCTCATCACGTACAACTGAGTATAGCAGAGGTACACAACAGTTGCATATATAAGGCGAATGGCCAAATGACATGTCTGATCTAGAGTTAGTAACTATATGGGCGCTATATTCTGGTTCAAGTCCTCTTTCCGACAACTTTATTCGAAGCCATATTTATACTTACAGTAAGACTGATTATTATCTCATCAATGGAGATTTCAACGCGCTATAAATCAGTTGATCAGAGATCACAAAATAAAACGAATATTTAACGACAATTCACTATTTATTAGTCCTCAGTGCTCACTTACATCACGTATGACGAAACCAACACATTTTGATGTAGAAAATGAACCATTATTGTTGGAAATGGTCCTCTTTAATCGCTCAAGTGATGTTACAGACATTCACTTCTCAAAAATAATCACGCTGATGAACTCTGGGTTACAAACACTTGGTGAGCAACAGGAATCTTCCCAATCTGGTTTCAACACCATGTGGGAAAACATTTAGGTGATCAGAGATTTGTTTAGATAACTTGTGGAGTTATGGTCTAGCCCCGTACTAGTGTGATGTACGCTAATTATATCTATAGACATAGGTAGTATGAGTCGCCAATCATTGGTGATTCGTCTATGATCCAATATAAACTATAAATCTCCTACCTTCAAACACGTCTCGGAAACCACTGATGTCTAGGCAGATTGTGAATTCTCTTCCGAAAGCGGAGTATCTCGTCTCTGCTAGAGAGTACCAAACTTTCAGTAATGCCAACTGAACTTCCTAATCTGTTCTGACTTTTGTGATCACCTCTATAACCTGAAATTTAGTCTTTGTGGTGATCTGAACCTGTTTCTAAAATCTGTCTGCACTTTGGCTACAGCCTCTGAGAGACTTTCAGTGCGTGTAGTGTGTTATGCTACTACTGGTTCTTTCAATGATTCATCTTTTTGTGTTTGGTGTGTAGTACTTGATTCAGTTGGGTAACCTGTCTTCATTAATCTATCCATAACACGTGTTAACTCAGATAGACAGGTTCACAA